CTTGGCGTACTCAGTTCCCTGATGCCACTGAGCTGCCCCGCTGGGCTGATCTGATGAAAAAGAACATTGATATCTATGCTCTAGACTTTGATGCTATTCTCACTGTCATGTATGTGATGTCTACTAGTGGAGAGAGTGCTCAGTACCTGCGTGTTCCGCCCGACCCGGGCATTCGGACCAGTGAGGCTACCGCTCTAGGTGCTGGTGAGGCTGCTGCTCTAGGTGCTAGTGAGTCTGCGCCCCCTGGTACTGAGTCGACTGAGGCACTACACACCTTCACACTGGACTCAGGTGCTTCTCGCTGTTTCTTTCGTGACCGCACTGCCCTTGAGCCGCTTGCTCGGCCAGTTGCTGTCTCCCTCGCTGACCCCTCTGGGGGTCCGGTCATTGCGACCTCCTCCACTGTCCTTCCTTGTCCTGCGGTCCCGTCGGGCACACTGTCAGGTCTCCACCTCCCCTCGTTCTCTACGAACTTGGTGGCGGGTTGTGCGCTCCAGGACGCGGGTGTTCACCAGTTCACCCCTGCCTACGAGCGCGTGACACACTGCACGTGTGCTCGGACGGGCCGTCACCTGGCTACCTTCACTCGGCAGCCGGGGTCGGACCTGTACACACTGACCACTGAGTCCCCTCAGGTAGCTGCGTCTGCGTCTGCGTCAGGTCAGCTGTCGGCCCCCTGCTCGTGTCGCTCTCTGGCGCACGAGACCGTCCTCTGGCACCACCGACTTGGTCACCCGTCTGTGCAGCGCCTTCGTGCCATGCATAAACGGTACCTTGTCTCTGGTCTTCCCAGGGTTCTCCCTCCCCTCCCACCCTCGCCTGCTCCTCCCTGTCTTCCCTGTGTCGAGGGGCGGCAGCGCGCCGCTCCTCACTCCTCCTCGTTTCCCCCGACGACTGCTCCCTTGCAGACGCTCCACATGGACGTGTGGGGCCCAGCCCGCGTCCGTGGTCAGGGTCAGGAAAGGTACTTCCTGATAGTTGTTGACGACTACTCGCGCTACACCACGGTCTTCCCCTTGCGCACCAAGGGTGAGGTCCCTGATGTTTTGATCCCTTGGATCCGCGCTTCTCGTCTCCAGCTCAGCGAGCGTTTCCACTCGGACTTTCCTGTCCTGCGCTTGCACTCTGACAGAGGTGGTGAGTTCTCCTCCGACCTCTTGGCAGCCTACTGTGCGGAGCACGGCATCCGCCAGTCGTTCACGCTTCCGGCCTCTCCACAGCAGAATGGGGTTGCTGAGCGCCGCATTGGCTTGGTCATGGAGGTCGCTCGTACCTCCTTGATCCATGCGGCTGCCCCCCACTTTCTGTGGCCGTTTGCGGTCCGATACGCTGCGCATCAGCTCAACCTCTGGCCCCGTGTCTCCTTGCCGGAGACTTCCCCGACACTGCGTTGGACGGGAGAGGTTGGCGATGCGTCGCGTTTTCGGGTCTGGGGATCTCGAGATTTTGTTCGCGATACGTCCGCGGACAAGCTCTCCTCCCGCGCTGTTCCTTGTGTCTTCCTTGGCTTTGTCCCGGACGCGTCTGGTTGGCAGTTTTACCACGCCACCTCGCGCCGTGTCCTGCCCTCACAGGACGTCACTTTTGACGAGTCCGTGCCCTACTACCGCCTCTTCCCCTACCGCACTGCCCCGCTCCCCCCCCCGCCTCTCTTCCTCGCCCCAGGTGCTGCTATGGTAGACCCCCTCCCCCCTCAGGGTGCCGCTCCCTCAGGTGTGTCCCAGGTAGACCCGGTTGAGCCTGTCGAGGTAGCTGTCGACTCTCGTCCTGCTAGGGGTGCTGAGCCTGAGCGTGCGGAGCCTGGGGGTGCGGAGCCTGGGGGTGCGGAGCCTGGGGTTGCGGAGTCTGGGGGTGCTGCGTCTGGGGGTGCTGAGTCTGGAGGTGCTGAGCCTGGGAGTACTACACCTGGAGGAGCTCTCTCCTCACAGCAGCTGCGTGAGTGGTACTTACAGTACTGCAGCCTTAGGAGAGGTGCCTCTGGAGCTAGGATTGCTGCTGGAGCTGGTGCTAGTGCTTCCCCTCCTAGGCGGGAGCTGCCCTCTCCCCAGCGGCTCCGAGAGTGGTACGCGCGGCGCTGCAGTCTCCGGAGTGGCGCTCCTAGTGTCGCGGACCCTGGTGCTGGAGGTGCTACTGCTGCTGGCGGTGCTGCTGGTGCTCCTGGAGGTGCTGCTGGTGCTGGTGCTACTGACGCTGCTGGAGGTACTGCTGGTACTGGTGGTACTGCTGGTGCTGCTGGAGCTGCTAGAGGTACTCCTACTACTGGAGCTGCTGCTGGTGCTGAGGACCCGGGTGTTGGAGCTGCTGCTGGTGCTGCGGACCCTGGAGTTGGAGCTGCTGCTGGTGCTGCCGACCCTGGAGTTGGAGCTGCTGCTGGAGCTGAGGACCCTGGAGTTGGAGCTGCTGCTGGTGCTGCGGACCCGGGAGCTGGTGCTGCTGGTGTAGCTGGAGACCCTGGAGCTGAGGGTACTGGTGGTGCCTCTGCTGGTTCTGGAGGCGCTGCGCGGCCGCGGCCGTACTTCGTTCCGCTCCTTCAGCAGGTTCTTGGTCAGCCGCCTCCCCCTAGTCCTGCTCCCTCCTTAGAGTGTCCTCCGCCTGTCCAGTCGCAGTCACAGTTACCGCCTGCCTCGCCACTCCCTGGTCCTTCTCCTTACACTGGTCCGACTGGAGGTCTTACAGAGCGTCGTGAGCCTGAGTCTCGTCCTGCGTCGCCAGAGTCTCGTCGTGCGTCACCTGTTCGTGCTGCTCACACTGGTCGTCGTGTTCCGCGTCAGCGTCCTCCTGCTGTCCCAGGCACTCACCAGATGGCACTTCGTCCTTCCACTGCTCCTCAGCGTGTCCCTCTGCCGTCTCCTCCTGCGTCTTCTCTTCCTGCTCTTGCTGACCCGGAGTCTGACTCCCTTCGTGCTGCCAGTCCTACTGTCACGCGTCTCCTCGCCACAGTTGTCACTGACCCTTCCTTTGAGTCCTCTGCTGCGTCTGCTCTAGTCGCTGAGTTAGTTGACTTTGCTGCCGCTTGTCGTCTAGACTACGCCGCTAGCCTTGTCGCTGAGTCTGAGTCTGTCTGTCCTTCGTCCGTCGGGGGTGAGTGTGCTCTTGGCACGGACGTCCTTGAGGACAGGCAGGAGGAGTTTGAGTGCTTTGCCGCTGCGTTACCTCATCTCGTGTCCATGCTGGTTGCCCCTGAGGGAGACCCGGATGCTCCAGACATCCCGACCCCGCGCTCTTACGCTGAGGCGATCGTGGGTGAGTACTCCTCTCAGTGGCAGACAGCCATGGACGCAGAGATGGCTTCTTGGAAGTCCACAGGCACCTACGTTGACGAGGTTCCCCCACCTGGGGCGAACATCGTCAGTGGCATGTGGATTTTCAGGGTGAAGCGGCCGCCGGGTTCTCCGCCTGTCTTCAAGGCGCGTTACGTTGCACGAGGCTTCAGTCAGCGAGAGGGAGTTGACTTCTTCCAGACCTTCTCCCCGACCCCGAAGATGACCACTCTTCGGGTTCTGCTGCACGTCGCCGCTCAGCGTGACTACGAGCTCCAATCTCTTGACTTCAGCACAGCTTTCTTGCAGGGCAGCCTGCACGAGGAGATCTGGCTGCGCCGCCCACCTGGCTTCACTGGGTCGTTCCCTCCTGGTACCCAGTGGAGCCTCCGACGGCCAGTCTACGGTCTCCGCCAGGCGCCGCGTGAGTGGCACGACACACTGAGGACTACACTTGCGGCTCTTGGGTTCGCTCCTTCTACTGCTGACCCGTCGCTGTTTCTACGCACCGACACTTCACTGCCGCCGTTCTACATCCTCGTGTACGTCGACGACTTGGTCTTTGCCACTGCTGACACTACGGCACTCGCCCACGTGAAGTCGGAGCTGCAGAAGAGACACACGTGCACAGACAAGCTATCTTGGCTTGCGGATCACCCGGGACAGAGCACGGCGCACCATCACCTTGACTCAGTCACACATGGTGCAGCAGGTCCTTCAGCGCTTCCGCTTCACGTACTCCTCGCCTCACCCCACTCCTCTGCCTACCGGTCACTCGCTCTCAGCTCTGCCTTCGGATGAGTCCGTAGAGCCGAGTGGCCCGTATCCAGAGCTTGTTGGCTGCCTCATGTACCTGATGACCTGCACTCGACCTGACCTTGCATACCCTCTTAGCATCCTTGCACGCTATGTCGCTCCTGGTCGTCACCGGAAGGAGCACATGGATGCCGCTAAGAGGGTGTTGCGTTACTTGTGCAGTACGTCGGGCATGGGGCTAGTGCTTGGAGGACGAGACCGAGTTGTACTCACTGGGCACTCAGACGCTTCTTGGGCTGACGACCAGGCTACTCAGCGGTCGTCTCAGGGTTACACCTTCAACCTTGGCTCTGGTTCTGTTTCTTGGCGTTCTACACGCTCGTCTTCCGTTCTCAGCTCCAGTTGTGAGGCTGAGATCTACGCCACAGCCATGGCTGCACAGGAGTTACACTGGCTCACCTACCTGCTGACCGACTTGGGAGAGCGGCCTCGTTCTCCTCCAGTGCTGTACGTCGACAACAAGGCTACCATTGCCTTGTGTGAGGAGCACAGACTGGAGCACAGAACGAAGCATATCGCTCTACGGTACTTCCTTGCTCGAGAGCTGCAGCAGCGTGGTCAGCTTCGTCTGCGTTACGTGGCCACTCGGGCCAACACTGCTGATGTGTTCACCAAGGCGCTTCAGCCTTGTGACCATCAGCGCTTCTGTACTGTTCTAGGCCTTGTGCCTACTGTGCCTCACTTGCTTACTTCTTGACTCTGTTTGTACTGTGATCTCTATATATATACCTGCATACTTACACTTGCTAGGTTGTGCTCACTGTACCCCTTGCTATATTATTAAACTGCATATGAACTGGTCTTGTGACTACTTGCTTGTGCTCGGAATTTGTGTGGTTTCCTCGAGATCCACCCTGAGCTTGCTTTGCCCTTCCTGACTGGTCTTGTGACCACTACTTGCTCTGGCTATCCCCCATTTCGCCTATGGGGGTGTGTCAAAACATATGCATAATTGTATCTAGGCTATATTGGGGCTAGCCTTAGGGGGTACACAAATAGTCTCGACACTCTAGTCTTGTACCCCAATCTTCACCTAATCAACACCTTTCTCGTTCCCTAGCTAGTGATTCTAACACTCACGCCTCTACTCTCACGCCTCTACTCTCACGCCTCTACTCTCACGCCTCTACTCTCACCCCTCTACTCTCACCCCTCTACTCTCACCCCTCTACTCTCACCCCTCTACTCTCACCCCTCTACTCTCACGCCTCTACTCTCACGCCTCTACTCTCACGCCTCTACTCTCACCCCTCTACTCTCACCCCTCTACTCTCACCCCTCTACTCTCACCCCTCTACTCTCGCCCCTCTACTCTCACGCCTCTACTCTCACCCCTCTACTCTCACCCCTCTACTCTCACCCCTCTACTCTCACGCCTCTACTCTCACGCCTCTACTCTCACCCCTCTACTCTCACGCCTCTACTCTCACCCCTCTACTCTCACCCCTCTACTCTCACCCCTCTACTCTCACCCCTCTACTCTCACGCCTCTACTCTCACGCCTCTACTCTCACCCCTCTACTCTCATGCCTCTACTCTCACCCCTCTACTCTTGCCGGTCGCTCTCATCTGTGACCTCACCTCTTCCTCATCACTCTCCCATCCTTACTGCAGGTGCTCCGCCCTGACCCTTGTTCCTCTTCCTGGTGGAGATGATTAGCTTCCCCTTCCTTTCTACTCGTGTCGGCGTGCACGAGTCCCATCAGGATTGCACTACTCTCGCATGCTTACATGTAACGAACTTGATTACCAATATCGCCCTGCCCTGCCCTGCACTTCCTACTCTTTCCTTCGAGCCCTCCAATCTCCAAAATGCCGGCACTTCAACTCCTTTGTTCCTCTAATTACCGGTCCCTCCATTCGACTCTGTCCAGTGGTCTGCGTTCCCCTTCCCCGTTTGCCCAGGGAACCATGTGCTGTCATGTCCCATGTGTCAATGCTCATGCTCCCCATCTTCACTCCTCACCTCACATCCTCGCAATCATGCGGGTCTGGCATCTGGCATGCACATGCGGGTGGGTATGGGTGTGCGCTCTTCCTCCCCTCTCTCCCCACTTCATCCCCTAATTCCTCTCTTCCACGCCTTGGCGCTCCCAATCTGCCCTCTCACTTCTCATTCCATCCTCTCTCCTCCCTGCCCTCCAATTTCCTCAAGGCAACCATTCTTTCCTCTCTGTTCTGCCTCTTTCACCCGTGCCCTCGATTCTCCTGAATGGCGGCAGGCACACGGTGCGCCTACCTGCCGCGAAGAATCCACACAGGGCTCCTGCAGCGCTATGCTCACACGGCAATATTTTATATCAATCTGGGTGTACCCTCATCATGATGAAGCTACACATTTGTTGTAACGTGTCATGCTAGCCGTCAATATAAAGCAATGGGGTATTTCACACGACAAAAAGAGCCAATAACACACGTCGATCCTTACTATTGTACGCACATGCAGAATCTTGGTAAATAGTAAATAGGGTTGATAGTAAGTCCTGGGGGTTGTACGGTACTATGGGGGTTATAGGTATTACAGAATTACCCTTGGCACCATGTCAGAAGCACAACACCACGGTGTGATCCATTGCGTTATGGCACATAAGATACACATAGAGGCGCGTTTACTAGTGCACTTGTTTCCGCGTTGACATAGAGCAGACAACGCCGTGCCGCGCCTCCACTTTGAATACCCTACCACTGGTCCCATAAATCCAGTCGAGTTGCAATGCACAGAAAACCGGAGATGCTCATGGAGGTGATAGAGCAGGTGCTGGATTCGTATTATGCGCAGCACAGGCAGCAGAGCCCCACAATATACAGCCCCACACTCTGCTGCCCCACACTCTACGGCCCCACTCTCTGCTGCCGGCCAATCTGCGGCCCCACACTCTACGGCCCCACTCTCTGCTGCCGGCCAATCTGCGGCCCCACACTCTACGGCCCCACTCTCTGCTGCCGGCCAATCTGCGGCCCCACACTCTACGGCCCCACTCTCTGCTGCCGGCCAATCTGCGGCCCCACACTCTACGGCCCCACGTTCTGCTGCTCCACGCTATGCTGATCCAGTGCCCGCCACTCTGCTGCCCCGACCCTTGGCTGCCCCACCATCTGCTGCCCCACGCTCTTCAGCCCCACAGGCCAATTGCCCCACACTTTGCTGCCCCACACTTCTCTGCCCCACGCTCTGCTGCCCCACTCTCTCCTGCCCCACGCTCTGCTGCCCCACTCTCTCCTGCCCCACTATCTGCTGCTCCACACTATTATGCTGCACCGTGCCCTTCTGCCATGCACTCTGTTGCCCAACGCTCTGCTGCCCCACCCTCTGCTGCCCCACCCATTGCCCCCACTCCATCTTCGTTCATCATCGCGTGTTGAGTAAATCACCTGTGTGTGATGGGTTTAGGGTTTTTCGAGTACATTGAGTTTGCCCTTGCACCTAAATCAAAACCTGACCAGTAAAAGAATGAAGGGCAGTCATAATGCATCAAAGTTATGGTACATAGCGAACAGGAACAGCGAACGGCCCCTCTCATATACTTGTAGAATGTGGTCTTACATGGTACACAAACACCTACATTTCGACCCACCTCTGACATCACCTGATACCCTATGCCAGCAAGTGCAAAAGACGCCATGAACCTTTGCATCAGAGGCATACGCTTTCGACCAGGGACAGAAGGATCGGTGTTTGGTGGCTGCCGTTTTATGGACCAATAAGTCATCGACTTCCTGCACACGTCACACTCCCACTTCAAACCAAGTCCAGCCCACCCCAATTTCCATGACCTCACTTTCATACGACCATTGCACCCCACCACCCCCGTACAATGAAGTGACAAAACCATAAAAAACTGTAGCGTGTGAATGGGGTCAAGGAAGCAAACGATGTTGCGAAGACCGTCCAAGAGAGGAAGCATGGTCCAACCGTCTCCCTTTATTGGTGTGGTTTTGGTGGGCGTTGGTGCAAATGCTCTGACGTTGTAAGGGAGAAGAAGGGTGTGTATATGGGTGCAACACTTAATGAGCAAACTATTATAAATGTGTACTATATGCGCACCGAATGCCCTACGCATGCGAAGGGTCCGGGCTCTATACATGATGTTCAACACGTACGTACCTTGCTGGAATCGGGCTTGCATCACCATTGCAACGTGTTTCCTGACGGAGGTCCGAGTGTGGCCCGCGCCGTCCGATCAGCTCGTGCACGACCTCAACAGCCACAGTGCTGTGGGGAGGGAGGGGTGCACATGCTCTGCCGGTGTACGGGAGCAGAAGGGTGGGTAGATGTGCACAAAACTTAGTGATTGAATCGTATGAATGTGTACATGAATGCGCACCATTGGGACATCAACATGCGAAGGGTCGGGTCCGGGCTCTACGCATTCTGTTCATCACGTAAGTACCTTGCTGGAATCGGGCTTGCATCACCATTGCAACGTGTTTCCTGACGGAGGTCCGAGTGTGGCCCGCGCCGTCCGATCAGCTCGTGCACGACCTCAACAGCCACAGTGCTGTGGGGAGGGAGGGGTGCACATGCTCTGCCGGTGTACGGGAGCAGAAGGGTGGGTAGATGTGCACAAAACTTAGTGATTGAATCGTATGAATGTGTACATGAATGCGCACCATTGGGACATCAACATGCGAAGGGTCGGGTCCGGGCTCTACGCATTCTGTTCATCACGTAAGTACCTTGCTGGAATCGGGCTTGCATCACCATTGCAACGTGTTTCCTGACGGAGGTCCGAGTGTGGCCCGCGCCGTCCGATCAGCTCGTGCACGACCTCAACAGCCACAGTGCTGTGGGGAGGGAGGGGTGCACATGCTCTGCCGGTGTACGGGAGCAGAAGGGTGGGTAGATGTGCACAAAACTTAGTGATTGAATCGTATGAATGTGTACATGAATGCGCACCATTGGGACATCAACATGCGAAGGGTCCGGGCTCTACGCATTCTGTTCATCACGTAAGTACCTTGCTATCCTCGGGCTTGCATCACCATTGCAACGTGTTTCCTGACGGAAGTCAGGTGGTGGCCCGCGCAGTCCGCTCAGCTCATGCACAACCTCAACAGCCACAGTGCCTTGGTCTGGGCGCGCTGGCGCATCACTCCCGATCACCACGTCTTGCCATTCCACACCCGCCGTGACGTCATGGACAGGCCTATCCTGTCGAGCTGCCATGAATTTAGATCGTGGGGGCAATTGTAGTTTCATAATAGTTTAGGGATGCCTCGAATAAGTACATGATTGTGGGTGATATGACACAACATTCGCCAGGAAAAAAAATGTCAATCCATGTCTCGGTTTCACACTTGTCACACTTGCGCCGCATTTCGGAAAAGAATCGATCGTGCGTACCAGCAACATAGTTGGAGCCCTTCCGTGCCCCACCCCATTGAAACCGCCGGCCATCCCGATACAACGCTCCATCGGGACCCAGGGTGTATGCAGGAAAGCCGTATCGTAGACCTGCAATGCCATAAGGATCCCGCATCGTAAGATCTGATAGATCCTCTGATGCAATATCGGCCCTGCATCTGAAAGATGCACCAAATGTCGCTAGAAGTACTTTCACGCTTTCGCCTGCGGTTGTCCCATCGGATCCTGTGCGAACAAAAGATTAGGAACTAATGAATCTTTCTTGTTCATCTCAACTACATGCCCCAAACTGTCCCACAACTCCGTCACATCTCACCAGCCCTTGTTGCTGCCATCATCAGCTTCTCGATTGCCCCATCCCCCACCATTAGTAAGAAGAACACCAGATCGGCAATGGATGCAGTCCTTCCCATCAAGCATGACAAACCAATCCGTAGGAAACAGATTGGCAGCTGCATGTGACTAGAAATACCAAGACTCTTCACTTCGCATTTGTTCGCCATGTCACGCAACTCTTCAAGGGCAGAACTCCGCACCTCACAATCAGACGACATGGCCAGTAGCTGGGTGGAGGGAACGAGAGGGGAGCAAGGGCGGATGTCAGCTGGGTGGGGGGAAGTGAGTAGCTGGGTGAGGGGAAGTGAGTAGCTGGGTGGGGGGAAGTGAGTAGCTGGGTGGGGGGAAGTGAGTAGCTGTGTGGGGGGAAGTGAGTAGCTGGGTGGGGGGAAGTGAGTAGCTGTGTGGGGGGAAGTGAGTAGCTGTGTGGGGGGAAGTGAGTAGCTGGGTGGGGGGAAGTGAGTAGCTGGGTGGGGGGAAGTGAGTAGCTGTGTGGGGGGAAGTGAGTAGCTGTGTGGGGGGAAGTGAGTAGCTGTGTGGGGGGAAGTGAGTAGCTAGGTGGGGGGAAGTAAGTAGCTGGGTGGGGGGAAGTGAGTAGCTGGGTGGGGGGAAGTGAGTAGCTAGGTGGGGGGAAGTAAGTAGCTGGGTGGGGGGAAGTGAGTAGCTGGGTGGGGGGAAGTGAGTAGCTGGGTGGGGGGAAGTGAGTAGCTGTGTGGGGGGAAGTGAGTAGCTGTGTGGGGGGAAGTGAGTAGCTAGGTGGGGGGAAGTAAGTAGCTGGGTGGGGGGAAGTGAGTAGCTGGGTGGGGGGAAGTGAGTAGCTGGGTGGGGGGAAGTGAGTAGCTGGGTGGGGGGAAGTGAGTAGCTGTGTGGGGGGGAGTGAGTAGCTGGGTGGGGGGAAGTGAGTAGCTGGGTGGGGGGAAGTGAGTAGCTGTGTGGGGGGGAGTGAGTAGCTGGGTGGGGGGAAGTGAGTAGCTGTGTGGGGGGAAGTGAGTAGCTGTGTGGGGGGAAGTGAGTAGCTGGGTGGGGGGAAGTGAGTAGCTGGGTGGGGGGAAGTGAGTAGCTGTGTGGGGGGAAGTGAGTAGCTAGGTGGGGGGAAGTAAGTAGCTGGGTGGGGGGAAGTGAGTAGCTGGGTGGGGGGAAGTAAGTAGCCCAATGACCGGGAAAGAAGGTAGCGCGGTGGGGGAAAGGGAAGTAAGTAGCTACTTGGGGGGGAAAGTTAGTAGTTGGATGGGGGGATGTTAGAAGCTGGGTGGGGAGAAGTAATTAGCAGGATGGGGGGGAAGGTCATAGCTGGGTGGGGGGATGGTAGACGCTGGATGGGGGGAAGTAGGTAGCTGGATGGAGGGAAGTAAATAGCCTGCTGGGGGGTAGTAAACAGCTGCATGGGGGAAACTGAATAGCTGGGTGGGGGAAAGTAAGTGCCGGTGTTGGGTAATACAATGAGAGTGAGGGGCGTGGAGAATGCAAGTAAGGGCTGCGTGTGGAAATGGTTACATAGATGGCCACCTTTTTATTTTTCAAAGTCGACCGCGCGAATGTCTTCTTGTCGCGTGGACAGTAGTCACGGTGCGGGTGCGGGCGATGAGTCACGCGTCGCCTTCCTACCGTTACCCTATTCTTCGGTTTGCGAGTTTTATGCCTTTCTACCCTACTTTTCGCGCTGTTCTATGGCGATAATGCAACATGCCGCCTCCGCACCTCCACGCCCCATAATCATATGTCATTTGGGGGGCTCTCCACTGACGAAATCCTTGTTGTGCTGCCCGGTTCCCTCCCCATTGGTGTCCTGCCACGATGGTTCTATATATATAAACACACTCGCTGCGATTCCACACATTTCGCCTAACCCTATCTCTTATAACCCTAAACATAATCCCTTCGCGTCATTAGAAGAAATGCGCGTTGCTTGCCTATTCACATTCTCCGGCGCCTGGTTCCTGATGTGTATTGGCAGTTGGTTGGTGTGGCGAGACAGTGCGAGACGTTTTCTTCACTCATCACTATGGTGTCTGGGAGGGTGGCGGAAATGGAAGGTCGTTCCGCAGCCCCTAGCTGCAGGCAGGCGCAGATTTAATTCAGTGAGCCACAATTCGCCCACTTACGTATTTCTCGCCACATCCATTCTTCCTAGTGTATTTTCGTTCCTGCCAAACTTTTTTCGCCGAACACCAATTTCTTTCCGATGGGAGTACACCCATTATGAATGTGCACCCTGGTTTTAACCTCGTCGCATGTACCTTCGCCAGAGTCTTGTAGACCGCGCTGAGCAGCGTAATTGTTCTATAGTTCCCTAACTCCTCCTTGCTTCCTTTCTTATGCAGCAGGATTGTGACCACTATGCTGCTGGGAAGTTGCGAAGTGTGGGTGAAAGCGTCATCGAACTGCATCAGCACCGGCCCAAGAAGGTCCCAGTTATGCTCAAAAAGCTCCTTCGGGAGACCATCTTGCCCCGGCATCTTCCCTGGGGCCAGCTCGCGCACCGCCGTCCTTGATTTTTCCTTCGACAACGGTGCTTTAAGAGCCGCCCTACTCGCCTCGATGACAGTGCATTGCAAGGGGCCCGCTACTGTCTCCTCAGTAACAGACTGTCCCCCGCCGCCGAAGGAGTCCTCAAAGAACTCTGTCGCCACCGCCAACACTTCTCTTGCACCGGCGTAAACTCTCCCTTTGAAAATAACCTCGTGCACCTCTGTTCTTGCCTTCCGCGATCTGATTTGCCCGGTCAGGAAACCTGATGTCGTCTCCCCATCCAACTCCGACCTAATGCCTGACCATGCCTGCAGATTCTCCATGTGGCTCTTTTCATACGCGTTCAGGAGCTCCTCCTTCTTAAGCAGAATTTTTCGGGTGTGTTGGCACCACGGCTTCCGTGACAGCTTGCTGCGGAACACCTCCACTTCCCGTTCCAGGTGCGCTTTAGTTGCTTGTCTCGTTTCCTTTCAT